AGTAATTGATATTGTTCTCGCAGGCATTTCACAAAAGATTTAAAAGGATAAACGCCGGGCTCCAAACCCCTTGGGCAGGCCTCTAATCATTCCAAATGCGGGGAACATCTCCAAGTATGGCTACCAAAACCATACCAGAATAGGTAGAAGCAGATAGCTAGAGTCAGGCAGACTTCTGAAGCATCATGTTTCAAAGGCGGGCTGTGCCCTGTCATCCTGAGCCGTAGCACAGAAACTTAACTCTTGTTTATACCAATTAATCTGCGGTAAAATCAGTTTCATTACATGTTGTTTCACTGAAACTCACAGTTTCCAAGAATCTACTGTTGATGTTAAGTGAAGACTTACTGTAATTCAAACAAAAGTATGTGTGCTAGACTCACAAGACAATGGACAAATATTTAATCTGTCATAATTCCTTATTATTTTAATGGTTTTTCAACCTGACATGAACAAAAGTCAAGCAAAGCAGGATCCTCCAAAGTCCACGCTAGTGGAGTGACTGTGCCTCAGATTCCCAGAAGAGAGCAGTGTGGAATTTCTCGATTTCTACTCCAGACTCCAGAACCCATTCTAAGTGCTAAACGCATCCAAAGCCAAAGCAACCACCACCACTACAAGGACACCATCTGAGATTGTAACCAGAGCGTCCTTGACTTCTCTGGGCACCACGATCAGTGCCCCACCCTTCTGGTACCAGCTCACCTCCCCTCGTGCCTCTGCACTGAGACACCTGCTAGTTTTCTCACAGCCCGGGATCCTCCTCCTCCTGCAAACCCCACATTCCTGTCTCTCCTGAGCTCAGCCTCTGGCTCCAGCCACCCACCCGTGCATCCTGGGCTATGGTGCTGTGCCCACTTGCCTGCCAGCCTCACTTCACAGGGGCCATCGGCCACGTTCCTGCCCTCCCCACCCTCACTGCAGCCCCAGCAGTGGCCAGCATTGTCCCACACCTCCACCCTGCCAACCCCTTGCCCAGGAGACCCGGACATGATACCCCTACACCAGCTACTCACGCCTGCCATGTGTTTCATGTAAGGTGAAGAAGAAAGAACAGACTCCAAGCCCAGAATAAACAAGCCCTTTCCAGGCCTTCTACTCCCTGTGACAGACATCACCTCATAGTGATAACTTTCCAAGGACCTCACCAGAAGAACAGCTGAAAGGTCCCTCTCATCCTCTAAAAATGGCCTCTTACTCTGGCTGCTTCTCAATGTAAGTGAATCCCAATAAGTACGAAATCTCCTGAGAACTAATCCAGACACAATTAGCAAAGTTTCAAAAATCAAGCCTACTCTAGCTTTGCAGAGCAGTATGAAACTACCAAAGGCTTTTTAAAGCATAGTAACACAAGTGATTTGTGGTCTACAACCAGAAATACAGCTCACTTAACCTTAAACTGAAAAATAAAAATGTTTACAGGTCTCTCTGGTCCTACTCAGCAAATGGACAGAAAAAGGAATGAAAGGCTGGCTTGAGTTACCTGCATATGGGTCTGGTAGGGCACGGCATACGCCTGCCCATTCGCAGCATAACAACTTGAGTTCCTGGCGGGTACGCACCACTTATGGCCCATAGCCGTACGCCTGCTGAAAAGAAACAGGCCTCTTAGAAAACAATTGTGAAACTTCTGTAATGTATTAAAATTGTGGTCTCCAGGTTGCAATCAATAAAATTTAACAGTCATTAAAAAGACAAAACAAAACATGAAACAGTGTGGTTATGCCCGTTTTAAAGTTACTAAAAAACAAACAAAGCTACATTGGAGCCCACTTTCAGGCTACAGAATGAAGAAGGCAGAAACACAACAAAAGAAGGGAACTGGACTTGCATGAGATTTGGATTCTCAATTCAGTTGTGCTGTTAACCTGACCTTCAGTAAGTCACCTACCTAGGCCTTCCTTTGCCCATCTGTAAAATGATACGGTTGGACCAGGTGATAAGGAGATTCACCAAACCACTATCCTCCAGGCGAAGCCAGCCTGGAAGCAGAACCCTCTGTGGCCCAAGTTCAGCAATTCCAGGCAAATATGGAAGATGAGGGTGTCCTGAGCTGTGTACCTGGGCAGGTGACTGATGGTTTTTCGGGCTGCACACACCTATGAAGGACATGGCTAGAAATGGGCAGCAGACCACCTCAACCGGCAGTGATTGCCCTGTGCTGGAATACTGAAATCAAGACCGGCCCTTCCTGGCATATCACAGGCGAGAGGAGATCAGACATACTGCACAATCACTGTCATTCTGTGACAAGTGCTCTGATACAGGGAGAACAGAGGTGTAGCCAGGCAAATGTGTGTGTAGATCAAACCTGTTATCTTACAAAACAGGAGACAAGACTCCCACTTCTCGAAGATGGAGGTAGGCATTCTT